GAGCCGTCTGGCAGAACGAAAGCTCTTAACACGTCGCGATTGGTTAGCCAGCCAGATACCAGAATGGGGCATAATGGAATCTGACAATTTGAGAGGTACTTGCTATCAGGCTAAACGCAATTATTCACTCACGTCCGTATTAACTAGTGGATATGTTAGGGGATTACGGGAGTAAGTGCAGAAATTGGTCGATTATTTGTTTGGGTTAAGATTCATCAAGTTTAAGGTGATTATTCTGATAACGGATGGAACCAGCATTTTTTCCTATTAACTCATCACATATTGTGTGGTTCTAGAATTTTCTTGTTGAAATTTCACAGAATTTCATTATTGAAAAGTCAAAATTTCGTTTCAGTGCAATTAATCCATGAAAATTAATAAAAAGCAGGAAAATTCCCGTAAATACGTTTTTAAATCCTTAATTAATTGAAAATTAATAGTAGAAAATGGATCAGTTCGATCAATTAAATTATAAAAATTAAATTAAAAAAATTAACTTTATTCTCCTAAAAATTACTAGTCAAAAACTATTAAATCTCACAGACAATAATAAACTCTGAGAGTTATAAAACGTAATCATCCTTTTACATTTCTCTACAAACCACAAAAATAAATTTGTATCAATTTGATCAATTAAATCGTAAAAAAGAAATTCAAAAAAATTCATGGATAATCAGACTGAAAAGTACGATACTTTGGTTTTCTTGTAAATGTTAGTAAGAGTTAATTTCGAAATACTTGACAATTGGAATCTACCCCGAGCTTACATAATGCCTGCAATCTTCTTCAAATGTTCAACTCCTCGTCTCCCCCAATCCTGGAATAAACAATGCGACGACTATCGATTATGTTGATAGAATGACGATTTGTATTCAACGTATTCGCGACGGTTGAAGGGATCGAGCGGGAGGGGGGAAGAGCGATTCGAAATTCCCCAGTGCAACTTGGAGGCATTAATGCGGATAAGGAGACGACGATAATAGCACAGATAGCAAATTTGCGGAGCGATAGAACTTGTGACGTTCACCACGAATGCTTTCAAAGTCATACCGTTGACGGTTTTGACATAGCTCCGAGGCTATTCCCAGATTAAAATCTCTTCTCCATGGATACCATCAATATCAATCACCCTCGGCGAATCCAATAATTTCCCCGCTCGGCTGCTTTATTACTCCGTGATCGACTCATACATTACCAATTCAATTATCACTGAACCGTGAAAAAAACGATATTACTAGGATATTTCCCCCATTCTACGTGTTTTCTCATTCTCCGTGTATAAATAAATCGTTCGCACGTGTCTGACAATTATTTCCGCCATTTCGTTTATTAAATTAAAAAACAGATTATTTTACCAGAATTCATGCGCACATACATGAAGTTGTTTCGTAATGCTTAAAATCGTACTTTCGTAATGCTTAAATTGGGAGAATGGAAAAGTTTAAAATTTGTTTGATTTCATGAGCATTGAATCTAATTTAACAGCTGCACTGATGAAAATTTTTATTAAATAATGAATGCATTGAAATTTCATGGAACCGCGTCACTGAAAATCCAGTTTGATGAAAAAAAATATGAATTTTACTTCAGCTATTCCATGAAAATGATTGAAAATCGTAAAAATTGAAATAAATACATTTTCAAATTTTTCATTCATTGAAATTTCGGTGGAATTAGCTACTAAATAGTCATATTTCTGTTGAATATTCAAGTAAGATTGACACACCAAGTATTTTATTGATGTTTGCATCACTCGAACAGAAAAATCAAAGCAATATTAGATTTTTCTAGGCAAAGATTTCCTGAAATTTCAGTGGAAATTAAACATGATAAAAATTTCCAGGATTTTAACAGTGTACCGAAGGCTGAAAAGACCAATTATTTTTTAAACATTTCGTCCCTCCAGAGAAGAAACGCCATGCGACCGTGGCGCCTCAGTCTAATGGCTCCATTCAAGATGCAATATCGCGGCCATGAATATTGTATGGGCCTTCTCGTACTGACGTAGCCGCATCTTCCGGGTACCGCCCGCCGTTCCCCCTTCAATCTACCGCCAGTATGCAGCCCCCGTCTAGGAACGGCATTCCACCTTTTCACCCCCAAGTCATACCCTCGATATATCTCTCTCGCCGGTCGTCCCCCGTCTCCCTCCCGCTCTCTGTTGATGGGCCCGCTGGTGTGTACCAACGGAAACGACCGTACTTACGTACCACTCTTGGCTATGATTATTTTAAGCTGCACTCACAAAAATTGGCCACATCCACTGTTACTCCTCTTCTTTTTCATACACCATAGTGAGCACACACGAGTTCCGCTACATTCATACACTCAGTTGTAAGTGAACTCCACATCAACCGCACTTTTCCCACTCCCCCACGTCCTCTCATGTCGTTTCACCAGGCATAAAATGACTTTTCCACCGATATCTATATAGACCCGAACATCTTCAGGATCACATCCTGACAAAGTCGGGAATCGAGTATTGGCAATGGTAATGCCGATGGTAATGGGACTTTTAGATTTTCTATGAAAATTTAACACGACTCCAGGCAGCTTTTCGTACGAGGAAATTGGCACTGGAGTTAGGGGTGACATGTACCTGTGCAGAGGTAAAAGAATGTTTCAATGTCCTCCGAATATTCATTTTCAATCCCATCTCTAAAAGCATAACGTTTCGTGAAGTTGCTTTATGTCGACATTTATTTTGATTGTGTTAAAAATACATATTATTATATCACAATCTCCACAAACAAAACCGAAAACTATGAAAACATTAATAAAAATAATCAATCGTGCAATGTTTGCGCGTGAAAATATATTTTTTTTATTTTTATCTACGAGCCCAACGAATTATTGAAAAGTATATTAAAGTTCTATTGAAATATCAATATTTTCAAATTTTTCAAACTTCCAAAAAATTTTCATTACTTAATGAAAAATATTTATTCTCAAATTAAGGATTAATGTATTCTCAATTCCAAAATGCATATTTCCAATTAAAAACTTTTCGCCCTTGCAATGCAGAAAATTACATCTCGGTGAAGAAAGTATTGACATTCGCTTCCCATGAGAATCGTTTCACTTCCAATTTTACGTGACAAACTTTGAAAACAACGACCACCGACAATGGTAATGCCCCCAGTAATACGACTTTTCGATTTTCCATGAAAATTTACCCCGACTCGAGCCAGTATTTCCCCCCACAAAATAGGTACAACCCTGAATTCAACAACGACAGTGTACCTGTGCATCCAGAGACACTCGGTAACTGCTCTGCTAAAGTAATTTCAAAGTGGCAAACTGTCAAGGGCTTTTCCACCTCAAAATTTACGCTCTCTTCTGTATCTCCTGGCGAATATTGCCACTTGCTTTGTTGTGCATGCTAACTTTTTCTCTCACTCCCACCCTCTACGACTGTTTCTCAAGAGAATTTGGAATGTGCCAAGTGCCACCCGGATAATGTCACTCGATGTTCCAACTCCGGGGTACATGAAAGAGGCGGAAAAATTATTGTGCACTGCGTTGGAAAGTGCGGCAGTACATGGAGACAATTTTTTTTCGTTTGTAGGGACAATGTCACTGATTTTCAGAAACATGTCGCTAATTTCCTGGGCCATGTCACTAATTTTCAGAAATCTATGACCAATTCTTGACGCTGACTGGAATAATCTTGATCATCAGTGGTATTCATTCATTCATTCAATTTCAATTTATTTCCAACTATATGGCTTTTATACCTTTTACATTTCCATATTGTGCAACGTTGTAATGCAACTACATAAGACTAGAATGTAAGATGGGTCACGTTTGCCACCGAACAAAACAAAAAAAAGAATTAAATTTAAAAAAAAAATATATATAGTGAACGATAAAATCAAAAAGGGTTTTCAATTGAAAACCCGAGTTGAAAACCCGAGTTTGTAGCAGAGATGTCAGACAAGATATGAATGTTTTTTTGGGCTCAAATGAAAGAGCGGGTCGAGAAATGGCGTGCTAGGGCCTCTAAAGATGGGTTTGAACCAGGGGAGACTCCTAGACCCCAAGGTTTTATACATACTCCTAGACCCCATTGTCCTCCTAGACAATGTTGTCCCAACTCTGCTTTTCAATTGAAAACAGACATCATCTTTAGAGACATTTGTCATGTTTAGAGGCCCTAGCACGCCATTTCTTGACCCGCTCTTTTATTTGAGCCCGAAAAAACATTCATAGCTTGTCTGACATCGTTGCTACAAACTCGGGTCTACAACTCGGGCTTTCAATTGAAGGCCCGAGTTTGTAGCAGATCTATACAGCAATTCCATGTAACTTTGTCGTTGTCAAAAATTTCAAGCTTTTTCACTTGAAATTTCAAGAGAAATTTTCTAATAATGTAAAAATTTGTGGCAAGATCACTGAATTTTAGAATTTCTTGTTATTTTTGTAAAGAAAACTCCTTTATTTAGGGTTTATTACATTTGACAAATTGATCACAACTTCAGAATTCTGTACTCCCTGAATCTCACAATCACGAATCCCTAATAATATAGAGTAAATTCCTGAAAATCAGTGACATGTCCCTGAAAATCAAAACGTTTTACTTCTGTATATGTGCAAGCTTCCCTGTATTACATAGAAAACAATGTGTTAAGCTCCATCAACGTAGTATTGGCTTATCAGATATGCCCAGGTGTCTGTTTTCGCCTCATTAACTATGGATCAGTGGAACATAATACCTTGCGTGGAGCAAAAAAGGGAGGAAACAGGGGTGGACTGTGCGATGCGGAGAATGTATCAGGAATATACAGTCGAGGCTGAGGAGTGAGATTGTAAAATCGATCTCGTCGCTGCGTGGAGCCCTGAATGAAGAAAATGATGAAGTAACTTTTTCCACTCTCCGCTGAACACATTTTCACATAGTGGATGGCATGAAAAAAATATTGTAGTAAATTTCTAGTTCATCTCGCGAGCAATTGCACGCCAACTTTTCTCATCTCAATCGATAAAATTTTATGTTCTAGATGTCTCAACACCGTCATGCACACGAGTGAGATACAACAGTCTTGCCGAGGTGACGTCGAAGGAGTTGGGTATCAGTCAGCCGAGCTTCAGTGAGCTGGATTTTACACCCCTGGTTGTCTCTAAAATGAGGTGAGTTTTCAAGGTGGCTCGGTGTATTGTTCTTGGGAAAATGCTCTTCCAAAATATCTGCGTCGAAAATTTTACGACAAATTTATCCTTTATAAATAAAAAATGAAAAATTTATCCTTTGACGATTTTCCATGATGAAGATAACCATGTGTTCCAAGAAAAAGAACTACACTGTTAAAAAAATTTGGCTGAATTTTCTAAAAAAGACGTTGAGTTCATTTTAGGAGGAAAAAGTCAATGGAATTTCAAGTTTCTCTGAAAATTAAAGTAAAGTTCCAATTTTTTAGCAGCAGGAAGTCGGAAATTCCACAATTTACATGAATTTTCTAGTAAAAATGAATATAGACTGCCAAATTTCCTTGAATTTCAAGAAGAGATTTCTCTCAATTTACTTGATTTTTCATTAATTTTCCCGGCATAATTACACTAAAATTCACAGTGCCCAGTTTCCTCGGACGTTTTAATGAGAAAATTTCTTGAAATTTCAGTGGAATATTTTTAACAGTGTACACAGAAAAAAAACTTTCTGGTCCCAGCAACAGTCTCCGAATTCCAGTGAAATTTCTCGGAGGATCCAAGAAAAAATTCTGAAATCCAGTGCTTTGGTTTCTTAAAGTAGTACAAACATAACTTGAATTTTGAAGATAAAAATCGGAAATAAATTCTAATTTTAGATTTCTGCTCAATCAGCAGTCCAGTATTATTAATAATAATTATAATAATCTAGAAGTGCAAAAATAATTGCCGAAAAAACCATCCGAGACGGATATTTTTCCACGCACATTATTTTGTGGATGTCGAGTCGGGGGGGTAGTTTTCAATGCATAAATAATACCAAACAAGTTGCATATGCACCAATTAAATAGCATTCACCGCAATTTCGAACGCCATGTGACGACAGAAGGTATGTTTGATCATTAATGAAAATTCGAGCGCCACTATGAATTCGTAATTATCGACGACAACATTATTTACGGTCTGCATGACCCCGTCGCACTCTCATTTAATTCATCTAAAATTTCGTCTATCCGAAATGTGAGGTGAATGGCTCCAGAATAATGCGGAGTTACTGACGATTCCACTGCCCGAGGATTAAAGTGGGAATACTTCATAAGCCCCGTAATCCTGGGAAACAAAACGCTGGAGGAGAAAACAAAGCGAATTTCCACCTACTTTAGTCTCTCCATTGGTCTCTGCTGCACCGAGACCAGTTGGAAAAGAGCATCGTACGGGCATGATTCGCTCAGCAACTATTCTCGAGAATATAGGGGTGGGGAAGGCGGAGGGAAAATGCCAAGTGGGTATTAACAAAGTCGTTAGAAGCCCCACGGCTTGTTGAAAGTGACTCCTTGTTGGTGCCAAAACCTACTTCACTGGGTGGAAACTTGATATTTGTCTTGTGACGGAGACAATGTTATTTCTCATCTCGACGATTTCTTCGGTGTGATTGCACTATTGTCAAGGATTGACACATTGATAGAATGAATTAGTTTTTTTAAAATTTATTTACGCATTTTAAACCAATCGGTTTACTCTGCTAATGAATTAGTTATTGTCGAGAAATTCATTCAATTTAAACGTGAGATTGATTCGGTCTCGTCAAATGTGCATCCATTAATAGTTAACTAATGTACGTTTAATAAGCCATTCGCTACCTATTAATAAAAATTCGTTTGATCATATTCAACTCTACCATTTGATAATAACCTCGTTTATAATAAATGAGTCATTCTATCAGTGCATCAAGTTTAATTCTTCATTCAGTTGGATATTATTTCCTTTGAAGTTCAGTTCATTCAATAGATCTTCTGATGAAAGCTGTAAAAAACGATTTACTCATAATGAATGAAAGTAATGGGTCATAATAATTTACATAAAAAATGTAAATGTTTGTTATGTTTGAAACAACAAAATTTTAACTAAACGAAGAGAAATTCTCCAGAAAAATTCTAGTGCTGGTACGAGAAAAAGGGAATACAGTGACAACCAAAAAAAAAATCTAGAGTTGGCAGTGGAAATTTTATTGAGTAGCACGTGAATTTTTCCCGTTTTCATATGAAATTTTCACAGAAATTCCCGGAAATTTTATCCGAAATCGCTAGAAATTTTACCCTAACAACACTAGAATTTTTATAAAGAATTCCTCTCCGTGAAGAAATTAATACAAATCGATGGATTTAAAATATCCATTAAACCTCGCAGCAAAATAATAATTCCCCTCTAATAAATGGATAAATTTCGCGGCATTAAATTTCACCTGGATTCGTTCCAAATTCGAATATTCATCCATCTATAATGGCTCATTATTATCGCCCCCTTTTTCATACATGTTAATTGAGTAATTGCATTGATTAAAACAAGCATCAAAGCTTGAGCGTAATTCCTCGTTAGTACCAAAACCCTCGCTTCGGGAGAATATTTGTTTTGCAATGAAGCCACAATATTATCGCTCACATCTGAGATTTCATTGTAGTCGTTATGATACTCGATAAAAAATTCCTGCGACAACGTAAATATTTATCCAGTTAACACTAATTTCCACGATAAATTAATCCAAACGATCCTCAAACGATGTTCAATTGTCCCAATAAACCTTGATTACAACGATTTATCGCTAATGAATGTATAAATCTCTCATCATTAAATTTGTTTTGCTTTAATCTCCAATGATAATACTTATCCAACGCTAATATCCAATTATTTTCCCCTCAGTTGTGACACATTTTAATTGAATAATCGAAATGATTAAAACAGCTAAGCCAACTGAAAATTTAAATTGAAATTCATGTGAATAACTTTTCTTGTTGGCCGAAATTGTTGCTAAACCGCACAGCGACATGATTCCCCCTACAATATAACATTTGTTTTGCGATGAAAACACAATATTATTTTTTCTGCATCAGAGATTTTACTCGTCATTCCATGCAAATCCGTTCAACAACGTAAATAAATCCAACGAGTGTGTTCGGGCTATCCGATAAAACCTGCATTACACTGATTTATCCCTAATGAATGCATAAATCTCTTATCATTAAATTAGTTTTGGCTTAGTCTCCAACGAAAATATTTATCCAACAATGAAATCCGATTAATTTACCCCCAGTTTTGATACATTTTAATTAAACAATCAAGCTAATTAAAACACACAACTAACCAACTGAAAATTCAAATAATGAAAAACATTGGAATGATTTTCTCTGTTCAATCAAACTTCTAATAATCTTCGCAACAGAATAATTCCTCTAGAGGTTCTTCTTGCATCTGAGATTCCACTGATCATTCGATGCAAATCCTTTCAACAACGTAGATTAATTAAACGAGTGTGTTCAGGCTATCAGCTAAAACCTGCATTGCAATGATTTATCTCGAATGAATGTATAAATCTCCTATCACTGAATTTGTTTTGGCTTAATCTCCAACGAAAATATTTATCCAACAATAATAACCCATTAATTTACCCCCAGTTTTGACACATTTTAATTAAATAATCAAACTGATTAAAACAAACAGCTAAGCCAAATGAAAATTTCAATTAACAAAGACATTTGAATAATTTTCCTTGTTTGACCGAGTCACCACGAGAATGCAAAAGCAGGGGAGCGAGGGGGGAGGGGTTGGGGTTGGAGGCAGTGAGGCATTGAAATCGATTCGAGTTGGAACTGGCAGTGTCCCGTATATACCGTTTCAGCGGTTTTCCGGTAATCGGAAGCCAGCTAATTGCAAAGCTCGGATTTCGAGTGCGATAAAGTGAGTGAGAGAGAGAAACTGAATTTGGGATGTACTGCAGTGCTGAACTATCATCTATCCCTTGGTTCCGTGGTAGTTGTGCATGCTTACCTGGTGGCATTCGGTGGAGGGACGAGTGGATGGACGCTAGAGAGCAGAACGATTTTATCAAACGTTGAAACGGTGACAATTCAACGACGCGTCACCTGTTGCACCCCAGCCGACTCTGGCATTCACTGATGTCGTCGTCTCCTGCATTATTAAAAAAGAAAGTGGGTAGATCATCTCTCTTCCTCTGGTGAGAGGGAAATTAATTCCAGTCGCGTTCAACTGCGGATTACTCGGTCTTTATTGGAAAAAGGAGGTCTTTTAATAAGCGACGGGTTGAATGTTCAAACATGTGGGCGGTGACGGGCACTCGTGCTGTATCGATTACCACTTGATTTCTCGGACTTGTCACTTTTATTTTCTCGGAATTCTGAGGGTTAACCACTTCAGCTATTTTCTAATTTAATACATTTTTTTAATTATTGCTGTCGTTGCTGAGATGTACACGGGGAACCTTTATTTTTTGTAATTGGCCAGCTTAGTTTACGTAAAGTCAATTGAAAAACAGGAAGGGAGATGTGTGAAAGCAACTGGAAATGTTTTCACGATTAGAAAAAAAAATTAATGAAGGCGACACTGAATTTGATCAAGAAGGAAAAATTATGAAATTTCAGATTTCACTGAAAATTCGATGAAATTTCAATTTTTCGGACAGCAGTAAGACGATAATTTTCCACATCACTTCAAGTTTCAATTAAAAAATTAACATTCAGTATCAATCGATGCCAAATCTTCAATTATTTTGAAATTTAAGAATAATGTCTTCAATTTCCTCTGAATGTTTTTTATTTCTATTGCGTTTTATGAAATAATCCAATTCAAATGGACAGTTTCCATCGATTTCTCATCAAACCATGAATTTTCAATCATGAAATCCCTTGAAATTCCAGTAGGCCGGTCACTTGGTGAAAATTTCCAAGAAGTGTGAGGGGGATTTACCCCAAAAAATTTCAGCAATGCAATTATTCCTTCCTTAACATTCTCTGAATCCCTCCAACTTTCCTTTTCCCCTCATTCCGACCATTGTACTCACTCCTCTATTTTTTCTCATTTCCCTGTCAGATGACAGGCAATTTTTCTCCCGGTGATTGCATTTGCAATTCCGATGGGAAACATGCGCTTACGGTTTTTCTCAACCAAAAAAAAAAACAAAATCCCAGCGTATA